ATCGGTTCGAGGGAAGCTTATGGCTAATTTGTCACCACAAGCAAGGTGGAACAACTATTTCTTTTAACTTTAAAACAAACTAATGTGGGACAAAGCCACCTAATAGTAATTTTGTATATTTTTGTATGTATATATTATTTTGTTACGCACCATATTTTTCAATTTTATTAGAATTTTCATCATATTTTAATTTGACGTATCAATTTAAATAAAAATAAATATTGTAATATGTAATAGAGTTTACACTTAGGGTGTGTTTGTTTGGGGGTTTGAATTTTGGTTTGAGATTTGAATAGTTAAAATTTTGAATTTGAATAGTTGTATGATGTGATATAAATAATTATTGATGTGATATTTTCACTACCAAAAAAACGGCCTTTCACCACGGCCCGAGAGTTCGTAACAATAACATCGTAACAAATAGTGGTTTTAGTTACGTGAGTATCCGTGACAAAAAAATTTCCTCTTGGTCAACGTTTCAAGTTTATTAGTTACGCAAAAAAAATGTAACAAATACGGAGATTGTAGACTTTGGTCAAAATAAGATTTGTTATGATAGTTTTTCGTAACAACTGGTTAAATAATATTAATTAAAAAATTTTTTGCAATAAATAAATTAAAAAAAAAAGAAGAAAAAGGTAAAAACGCATTTGCGCTTTCACTCAACAGACAAAATAAACACGCTTGTAGAGATCTAGGGCAAAAAGATTTCACTTTCCCATACTTAGAAAAATCAGACAAATTGAGGGCATAGTATTTCGTCCCCTCCAACGATCGACGACTCCCTTCTTTCTTTCGCCGACGCGACGCGCATAGTTGTGGAATTGAATAGGTAGTCCGGCGCTAGCGTCCAAGTAATGTTTTAAAGTTTTCTCCAGTATTATTTGTTGTCGATTCGCAGTTCTTCATCTCTTCCTATAAGGAAAAATCGAATTAGGGAGTATTAATATTCAGCTTCCTCCTCAGGTTGATACGGAGCTCTGCTTTAGGGAGTATCTTTAGGTACCGAAAGATTTCTTCCTCATCGTTACAATTTGTGTGTGAACATAGGTATTGAGCCCAATTTTGATTTTTCTTTCTGGGTATATATTGTTCTTTCATGATATCTTGCGCTAACTCTCAGATTTCACAAAGGTGTGGGGGTGGATTTTCAACTATATTTTGTTTTATTTTTCATATTTGAGCTTGCAGTGCCGGGCTGCCCTGCCCCTTGTGCAATTTACTTTTTTTTATTCTAGATTTAAGATAAGACTGTTATCAAAGTGATTCTTAATATGTGTCTTCATTAATAACTCAGCCTCATAACGAAGATAATTTAATATCTTTTATCACCACATTTTCAAATATGATTTTGAAATAAAATAAATAAATAAATGTATATGTATGAAATCAAAAAAATAAAATATTGACAACTGCACAAAATGAACTTGAAAAGCCACCGGCTTGTGAATTAAGGATTAATAGTGCGAAGACCAGAAATTGTTGAATTGATTAAGCATCATATTCGAAAAGGGTGAAACTGTAAATGGTGCTATTCATACTACCCAAGTTTCTTTAGTAAAATTCTACCATTCAATAAGTGTTTTGGAAACAAAATCATTTTTGAAGCAGTGAATCAGTTGCTGAATAGTATGATAAAGATGATGTATGTGTGGAATGGAGAAGGAAAACAAACAAATGGGTTTCGTAACTAGCTCTATCTAATTCATTCCATGAATATATGCATACACATGCACATGACATGCATTATCATCTTCTTCTCATTGTTTGTTTGTCCGTCTTTGAAAAAGCTTTGTATTTATTGTTGCTGCATTCATTAATATTAAGTTGCTTCCAGATATTGCTGATGTTGTGGGCTTAAGTTAAATTAGGCGAGCTGTTCATTGGATAATTTGCTTAACTGCTGTAAACTAATTTAGTTTGATGTGTGCTAGATTAATTTAGTGAGCCAACAGTGTTTGTAATGTGTATATCTTAGTTGTTGCTGCAAATTTAAGTAGTTCTAGCCTATCCTGTTAATCAATCTCGTTGTAATTGTAATAGGCTCAGTCAGTTCAGATTGTTTAGGTTAAATTTAATTTCTTACTATGTCTGTGGTACATTAGATAGTTAATATAATCGACTGTTGTCATTATACTTAGGCTAGTTTAATTATGTTGTTCCTTGCTTGGTTAGTCGTCAATTCGTCAGCTTCATTCCCATCAGAATAATAGCATTTCACACTTGTAATCCTTTCTTTTAGTTTTATGTACTTCAAATGTTAATCCTGCCATCATATAATACTAAAAGTGATATATATATGTACCAATTCAATCCTACAATAAGTAATGGATATTGTAACGTAGTGCATGTTTAACTTTTGTAGTAGTTTGTGCTATTTTTACTGAAAATGAGTGCATATTTAACTTGTATTTTTTTTTTTACAGGATACTAAATTGTGGAGACAAAGGCGTGCAGTGTGAATTCAGGATAAGCATACTTGAGTTTAATGAAAGGTCTGATTTCTTTTTAATGCATTTCCACTGTGCAAAGCTTCTAATTTTTCTATGTTTTCTCGGGTGGTGGTGTAATGGACTTCAATCTGGAGTTGCATAAACAACAGTAGGGTTGTGTCGAAACCTGTAGAATAGTCATAAGTAGGTGCTATTTGCTATCTTTGCTTACTATGTGAACGATTGACTTATAAGAAATTTCGATAGCACCGATTTGATATGTTAAATTGTCATATCTTACATTACTGCTAGTTACTGGTTCCATGAAATCTTCTATGTACCCAATGATCGATTGCTAAACTGCCATCATGTTTGATGCATCCATGATTATGTTACTAGCATTCCACTTATTTTTGCATTTGTTTCTACTATGCAGCGATGACATTAGGGAAAGGCGCAGAACCATGAGCCAGAGCAGAAGCTCAACTTTGAGAATTTATTAGTATTTTCAAATCTATACAAAAGTTCCTTTGGATTATGTGTTTACTGTGCATGGACTTAACTAGCGCTGCTATGTACGCAAGGCCACGCCCTCTGCTTCAACTCGGGATTTGCTTGTCTTTCCTCTACTGAGGTTGTGACACTCTATCCTTACCTTATCTGTCTGTGCTTGTTTTTCTTTTTTTGGTTCATAGAAAAGAGATGCATTGAACTGTACAGTCGTGCTGCATATGATATGGATCTTAATAGATTGCTTCTTGCCTTCTTCATTTTCTTCTAAACCTCACTGATTTCGATTTTCTGTGGAGGTCTCTGCACAGCACTGCTTCATTGGTTTTCTGCATCTGTATGCACTTGTGCTAGATTCCATGTTTGTTGCGTGCTCTGCTCTGCTCTCCTTAAATAGATTTGTTCGATTAGGACTAAAGATGAAAAGATAGATGCTTTGCACACTCCTCGGCGGCATATAATCTCCACCTGTGCTTGCTTGGTTGCAACGATTGATTGATTGATTGATTAACTCACTCTTTTAGGTTGTATAATTGAGTAGAGAATTGAAAGCCCATTTTGAAAATAAAGAAGAAAGCAGGGGAGGGGGTCTGATCTGCTGTAGGTTTTCCTTAGGGTGTTATACAGTTTCAGCCCCTCCATCATCACATAATACTAAAAGTGGTATATATGGTTCTAATTCAATCCTAAAAGAGGGAATGCATATTGTGAATTAGTGCATGTTTAATTAATGTAGTACTTTGCGCATTTTTCATTGAAAATTAGTGCATGTTTAACTTATGTTTTTTTATAGGAAGTGAACGTATGTCAACGCAGGCGTGCTGTGCTCATTCAGGATACCTAGCTTTGAGTTTAACAAAAGGTCTGCTTTATTTTTTATGCTATGCCACTGTGTAGCAACTTTTCTGTGATGTATGTTTATTGGGTGGGTGGTGCAATGAAGTGTTAAGTGCATTCCTACGAATCTAAAATATTTTTTTCACATCAGATTTCAGAATTATTTCATATTTGTTTTAAAGGGTTTCTACTAGAGGTGTAATCAACATATAGAGGACCCAGGTTCCTTGTCGGCATGATTGAAAAACATCATCACTATGAATTCTATCCTACAGCACGGGAAACTCTCTTCATCGATCTGCACCAACTGAATAACATATTCAATTTCATTATTTCAAAACACATTTGTGCATTGACAATTAACTCAAAGTTCATGCTTAATGAATTTCCTTTGTCGGAACCAATACCATTTTTTTTGTAACTTGGTTGTATGCGTCGATTTGTCGGAAGCAACACCATTTGGGCTATTTTAACTGAAAATGAGTGCATATTTAACTTGTGTTTTTTTACAGGATACTAAATTGTGGAGACAAAAGTGTGCAGTGTGAATTCAGGATAAGCAACATTGAGTTTAACGGAAGGTCGGATTTCTTTTTAATGCATTTCCACAGTGCAAAGCTTCTAAGTGTTCTATGTTTTCTCGAGTGGTGGTGTAGTTAAGTGTTATGTGCATTCCCACAAACCTGCTTTACTCTTTAGACATCAGATTTGAGCATTTTTTTCATATTCGTACAAAAGGGCAAGGAAAAATTTAGAATAGTAGGAAATTTTTCTTGACCCAAGTAGGGTATGGATAATTCTTGCTGCTCTAGTATCTAGAGATGACGCTCAGAATTTTTGGCGGAGCGTAGACATCATTTAATTCTCATTAAATGGCATCCATAAAAGGTTCTAAAGTGGAGATAATGGCTGATTTTAAACCATGGGCCTTAATGTTGTGATTTTAAAAGGTTCTAACACTGGTGTCTTGCAGGTTATGGGCAAATCTCAACGTGCTACCGTTGGAGGGTCACAGGATCCGGCAGTCTCTCCCGCAAGACGTTTTACCCGGGCATCCGCACGTAACAGCCCCCTAGAGGCAACTCATCCCGCAAGCAGGAATCCATCGCCCATCCGCAATCCCACAAAGAAAGTGACAAAACGGAAGGGATCTCGGGTCTCGCCACTGCTCCAACGACTCCGGTCCATCACATCAGAGTGGGAGAAAGAGCGCAATGCTCGTGGTCAAAGCATGAAGCCAACATCTTCCACTCGAAGGGCAGTGCTTCAGGATTCAGAGGGCCCTTTGGAGGTAATGTGGTTCCTTTGCCGAAAGCATGTCCTTATTTGAACTCTCAGTATAACACTACAATAGGCTGACACTGTTAACCCAACAGGAACATGATGATAGGGATGTTCCATCACTTTTTGATCCGACGGCACTGACACAGGATGACGATGATACAATCCCCCCCACACAAGCAGATGACGAGACACTTCCGCCGACGCAGGACATGGAGACTGCAGAGAGTGATATGCCACTCTTGGATGAAGGGCCAGGCTCCGACCCCACTCTGATGACAGGAACAGAGGCGGGCAATATGGCACCATTGGACGAGATGACATCGCACGACGGTTTGGAAATTAGCCTTCAAAGATTACCGATTACATTTAGTGACTTCATATTTTGCATGTAATATCCTTATTAGAACATGTAATCTCCTGTTTGTGTCAGCTGGTTCGTCAAAGAAAAAGCAGGGGAGAGGGGCGGCACGAATGCCGCGTGGATGGGGAAAAGATCACAGGATGCTTGTATTCACATCGCCGGATGGTAAAAGCATCGTCGGACCCGACGTAAACGAGTACAAGACAGCCATTGGGGTCATTGCACGCAACGGAGCTCGACTTCCTCTACATTACCCCACGTTCGCTGAGATACCGGAGACGAAGAGACAGGGTGCATGGATGGAGGTTCAGGTGATGCAAACTTCATTAAATTGAAAGTTCTTTTATTTCATATAGATTCTTATATATGGCCCTACCATCTTCTCCGGACCTGGTGGAAACCGTGTGAAACGGCATTCCAGAGTAACAGCGGATTACCAGACTCAGCGGAGAAAGTGGTCTTGGCTGACCTAAGGGAAGTTTGGAGGCACTGGAAATACAGCATCAAATCAACTTACTTCAATCCGATCGAGGACGATGAAGAAGCACTGAAGAAGGTTCCCTCAAGCAGGATTGTGCCCGATCAGTGGCCGAAGTTGGTTGAGTATTGGCGCGACGAGAAGGTGAAGGTACGCATAGGGACATGCCAAATTAATATATGTTAAATCTGCACGGGCATGGACTGAGAACTAAATAACTTTGATTGACGTAGCTTCAATCCAAGAAAAATGCGTCGAACGTAGCGAAAAGAAGCTTTCCACATCGTACTGGGCGGAAGTCATTCACGACTCTGGCAGAGGAGGTACCTTTTATTACAATTAAGTAATTAGTCATGTCATGCTCCATCCCCCTATTTTCCTCTCCTGTATTTCATTATGTTTTCGATGACAGAAGGCCTTGTATTGCTGCAGATCAAGGCAAAGGGGAAGGACCCCGACAATCTGGAGATTTGGATTTCCAGTCGCACACAAGGCAAGGGAAAGGATGACCAAGAAACCGAGGAGATATTGGTAGAATAAATTCGTTCCCAACTTAGTTACAATTCAGTCAGTATTTACATCTCTAACAACAAGAGCAAGTTCGGCCTCACTTAAATCTTTCCTGTAGACTTATTTACAGAATGAGCTAAACAAGGTTCCCCCTGAAGGGCGGACTCCCTCTGTTCGGGAGACTCTGTACCGACGGGCCCTTGGGGGAAAGATTAAGAAGCGGTCAAAGGTCGACAGTGCGGCAACTTCAGCTCATCCCCGCAGCGAGTCATCTGGTTTAACAGACAGTGTAGCATTCCAGCATGGGTGGGAACAACTACAGAATGGAATGGAGGAGCTGAAGGCAATGATGGATGAGTTCAAAACCATCAAGGCTGATGTGTATGCATTCATGCACAGAAACTCCGGAGCGGTTACTGGCCAGGCAGTAAGTATTCATAATCCCTGACCTGTTTGGTATGAGTATCCCATGAGATTTGGATGGCGAAGGAATTTACCATCCTCGGCATGTTATATGATAGGGCACATCTCGTATTGATTCAGTCCCTGAGATTCCCAGGCCTGTGTCCGAGCCAAGCATGACGGTATGATTCCGTGACGCCCTGGAGTTTCTTAGAAATCAGTGCAGTGTCTAATTTAGGCTACTCTTGACTGCGTACTACCTTATCCAACTCATATGCCCTGTCTGTTGTAGGTCGGCACACATGTGCTTCTATTATCCCGCACCGGTGAGAAAAAAGTTGTTGCAGAGGGACTTCTGCTCTGCCCCCCTGGGCCAGGTTGGTCCGGTATCTTTGAGGATGTTTAATTAAACTTTTAATATGCCTCAGCGAGATATCGTAGGTTTTCGTGACTGTTCAGGCCTCATATTGCGTATTAGCATGGATTCACTAAGTGTAGAAGTATACAATGATACGATCCGTGGATTTCCAAAGCGATGTAGACTGTTAATGTAGGGGTGGTAAAATAACTGCTATTATGACGACCCATGTTTATTGAAGGATGTTTGGTTTAAAGATCAAGCTGCAATTACATAGGAAATTAGGGTATAATGTGCTTCGCTACCTAACTCATGAATGTAATACCATGTACTGTACGACATGTCTGAATGTACGTACTCCTCTTGTTCTAGTTCCAAAGTATTACACTTATAATGTCTGTGTTATGACATGTTATATATACAGTTCGAACGTCTGTTGATATATATGCTTGAATGTAATCAAAAATTGCTCTTGTGAATGCTGTAGGTGACACACTTTCCTTGGTCAAGGTCTTCGTGACATCCGCGTCAGTCCCGGACACACCCCTTATTTTGCCGACCATTTCTGGGGCGACTACCCTTCGCGATGTCGTTGGCGAAGATCCTATTGAGTGGAGCTACAACGACGTAAGGATCTACTTTAATACCTTTCTTGTATTGCCTTCCGAAATTTATAAGAAGTATGACTTAAAGTAATCTCTGTGTTGGCAATTGCAGCTCATGCGCCGGGCTTGAAATGTTGGTACCGATACACCCATGTTAATTGCCCCGTTTGTCATATGGATTGAATGTCGAACCTGTCTTTGGATGGATTGTGTTGAGTTTTTGTTGAACTATGTCTGGAATTGATGCGTAGACCTTTGTGGTTTGAATTCGTTTGGTGAAAAATGTGCCTAATGGGATTGATGGATAACCGTATTTGCTTATTGCGTTGTTTACTTCTGTTTGAACTGTTAAGCACGTTTTGCGGAACAGGTTGTTGATGTGTAGATACTAGTAGGCTTGTTCTATGGGTTGCTTTACTTTGTTGGTAGGTATGGAATTCAGATTTTAATATGAATTAATGTTTGCGCGGGGCGTAATGATGATGATGTTTATAGCAATCTTTGTATTCGTAATTTATTTTCGTATCATACGCATCACAGCAGGTCCATTTGTTACGAACAATTTCAATTGCAGCGTACCCCCTGTTTTTCACAATACGCTATTTTTCCGTAACAAAAGGCCAGAAAATCGTTACAAAAAGTGGTCTTTGGATATTTGTTGTTACAGACGGTTTCGTGACTATAAGTAGGTAATATTTTTTTTACGGGGTTCAATGCCGTTACAAATAGTCGTAACAAAAACCAAGTTCTGACAACCGGTCAATGGAAAACACTTGTAACGCGAGGAACTTCCGTAACAAATACCGTAACTAAAAGTCCTGCCACACGCGCGGAAGGATCTACCTTTCGTTACGAGAGAAAATTCGTAACAAACATCGTAACAAATACCATACTTCAGGGAGCGTTGACCGATCGTAATAGTTACGAAAAGTGGCGTGGCAAAAAACATTCGTTACGCGAGTACACATTACGGAAAAAAGTCGTAACAAAGGCGTAGCAAATACGCAAATTGCACGAAATATGGCTTTTTGTTACGATTTTCCGGCCGTAATAGAAAACAGTTTTTTTGGTAGTGTTTGAATATAAAATTAATTTTTAGTATAATGTAAAAAATGAAAAATAGGTGTTTGATTTGATATTTTTTTAAAAAAATTTGATGAATAATAAAAATTGACTACAATTTTATAAATGAACACACCCTTGGTAAAACAACTTGATATTTTTTATTTGAATGTTGAAATAATTGTAAAATAATTAGCTTTCAAACTAATAAGATGTGTATGTTATTTGAAATGAACAAGAAAAATCAATTGTTAAAAATAGAACAAACAAATATAATATTGATACTTTGCCACTTATTTCTATAATTTAATTAGGAATTTATAAAAATAAATTAAAGAAAAAACATTATTATCAAATTATTTTTTTATTGTAAATATAATTTTAAAAATTAAAATTTATATAATTTAGATAGATTATATACAATTACATACACTACAAAATATAAAATACAAACATAAAAAAATATCAAAATCTTTCTTATACACATTTTTTAAATAAAATATTATTATTTTAAATCTATTAAAATAATAAAATGGTACATATGACTGAGACGCTGGAAATAATATTTAGAAAATTATTTTTAGAAAAAATATCAAATCAAAATTCTATTTAAATCAAAACTAAAAGAAATATCTAATTTTCAATCAAAACCAAACAAACTTAATTATTCTTTTATAATACAAAATATAATAAATTTTAAATTATTTATTTTTTGGATTAATTGCAACATCTATAATTTTTATTTTTTTAGTAATTAATTGTTTTACTTTTTTTATTTCTTATCTGTTGAGCACAAAATTTTAAAATTTAGGTTTTTGCCCAAGAAAAAGAAAGGGTATGGCCCAGTGGGGGGCCAGAAATGAATTTTGGGCCCAATGATGGGTCAGGAGTGAATTTTGGTAGCTTCAACTTACAGAATCCAATAGACCATCGGAGTTTGTTTGGTCGGGACATCAGATAAGGGGGCCATCCGATTTCAGGTACTGGGTTGGGTGGTTTTAAAAGAACCGATTGATTAGTCGGTTGTTATTGGTCGGTCGTGGTTACGGTTTATCACATGTCAACAGAAGGTTTCCTGAAGATAACCAACGGTCGTGTGAATAGAATAACTGACGACGGTTCACGAGTTTAGGTAACCGATTCACAGAAGGTTTTCGGACGGTTCAAGTGGGGTTTTATTTAAGCAATTCGAATCACAAAGGATGAGGATCTTCAATCATCTCACTAAAATTCTTGTTGGGTATCACTCATTTTAAATTTCCCAGTTTTTAGCGTATTTACTAGTTATTTATGTACTTTGTTTTAGGGAACGTGATATTTGATACTCTTTTATTTCAAATTCGGAATATATCTTTGAATTTTACTTTTTAATGTTGAAACTCCACATCAACAAGTTGGCGACCACAGTGGGAGACGAGGCAAAATTGTTGATCCTATGTCTAACGAAAACTATATACAACTTCGATTTGGTCGAATTGTTGCAAGGAACCTAATGGCGGGTTTCCCAATTGCAAGATCTTAGCACAGCCGTCGGAGCTACCACAATAACTCTATTGTCAATCCCGTCTATCTCTCAGACATCTTCTCAGATACCAGCAGAATGGCTAAATCATGTTCAACAAATGAACAATCAGCAAACAACAATCATGTTGGTTATGTTGTGCGAGCAACAAAACTTAGTGCAATATATGTTATATCAAGCCCTATCAAGAGTCACATTGCATTCCGTGTCTACACCTCCAGGAATGTCTTGTTCGCGCCTACAGGCGATCTTTGCAGGGCCATCATTTGTGGATAACATCATTCCTAGTGCTACAACACTTAATAGGGCAGAGAGAGGAAAAAATCCCCTTACTTTTCCTAACAACATTCCCCTGGGATCAAGACCTGATCTTTTTCAGGCAGGATTACAGAGAGAGGATCAACCTGGGGGTCAAGCACATGATTCTATCCAGGTGCCGGATAATTTCCAATCCCGGTTGGATCCAGAAGATGTCGCGCATGCTTTCAGGGTCCATTTCGGCATGAATCCCCATGTAGCCAACCGCCCAAGCATATCAACGACCATTTCCGGAAAGAATAATCAACGATCACCATCTACCGAGAAATTATCAGCCACCCAATTTTCATGCATTCTCAGGGGAGGATAGATCGTCGACTATTGAGCATGTGGGACGCTTCACGGCTCAATTAGGAGAAATTGATAATATCCCTTTTATAAACTATAGTTGTTCGGGCTATCTCTGACTAGGACAGCTTTTTTTTGGTTTGTCAACCCGCCATCTGGGCAGATTCATACGTGGGAAGGATTGGAAGCAGCTTTTCATGCCAAGTTTTTCAATCTTGTTCCAATGGTATCGTTCACTGATTTTTTGAAAATTAGAAAAATGGCAGAAGAATATTCCGCACAATTTATAGAGATGATCCATTTAATAAATGGCAGATGTCCGACAGTAATAGAGGAAAAAGAAATGATTAAACTCGTGGTCCGAAATATGCATCGACGGTTACGTAAGGCACTAACCGCCCACGATGTCGAGGATCTAGCTAGTCTAGCATCTAAGGCTGGATGTTTGGAGTCATTGTTCAAAGAAAAAGATCAAAATTTCTGGTGCAACAAAGTCCAGCAAGTAGCCAGCGTGGAGATAGAATCATATCTCCTAGATTTGAATCCGGCGGTAGAAGTAGAATAAATGGCGGAAGAGATAGTTAGCGGGAAGCCGTATTTATGCCCAAAGTTTAAACCAATTCCAGGAACTGAAGGAAAGGATCTACCAACTTTCAAAAATTCTAAAGCAGACGAGATCTTTGATATTTTATTAGCAGATGCACAAATCCAGATTCCTAAAGGCCAACGTCTAGCCACAAGAGAAGAAATCAAAGAAAGACCATATTGCAAGTGGTATATTTCATTTATCCACGGTACAAATCAGTGTACACATTTCAGAAAGGAAATTCAAAAGTTCATCAAAGCTGGACACTTCAAATACTCACATTGGGAGTAGAACTACAGCTGTTCCCCAAACTGATGATAGCTACAACTATAACTGCTCTAAACAAAGGAATCCAAAAGAAAGCATATCCGGACGAAAACCTAAATGAGGGTTTTAAAATATGTGAAGACCGGGTAGCAGAAAAATGGGATCGCCCAGACAGAACATATGAAGTGGGGCTTAAGCACCAGGTATTAGTACAAAATCGGCCAACGAGGAAGCCATATCCAGTCAATGATAAATAGAGCCGAAATAAGAAGTCATTTCCAGTAAATATTAATCCTCGGTTTCCAAGTATGAATTGTACTCAGATTCATAATGCTAAACATATATTTTCTGCTAGGCATGGTCGTCGTACTGGCAGTAAAGGTTTTCTACGTTGGGGGCTAAATCCGGGATCCGAGTGTCTCTGGATACGGTAACGGATTACAGAACCGTTCAGAAAGAGGATCACGAGAGGCCTTTAAGAAAGCGAAATGTTGCAGGTGTCAATACTATAACATGATCAATGTAGATTCATCAATAAGAGAGATCAAGGAAACCGGTCGTGAAGTTCGGTTTGGGTCTTTCTCACAAACTGAGATTTAGTCACTTGTGGATGAACAGACAGATCCAGCCATCAGGCGATCCCTTTTCGAGGTTAGGATATCAAGATTGCACTGGTAACAAGAGAAGCCGACCTAGGTGGAGCCAATCTGGGCTAGCATAGCTAATGATTGTTTTGAGGAACTTGAATGGGCAAATATAACAAATCCGGATCCACCAACGGACATTCCCCCACCAATAACTTTCTCTCCCCTCCCTGAAAGTATGGTTTCTGAGCCCCTTTATGTCGACGCTCATATCTGTGGTAAAACAATCAGCAAGTTATTCATCGATAACTCGGCGGTCTTTAATGTTATGTCTTTAAAGACACTTAAAAATTTGGGCACAGAGATCACTGATTTATTGTCAGTAAACATCATTATGATGAGTTTTACAGGCCAACCTAGCAAGCCAAAAGGTATGATGGTGGCTCTAATAGAAGCGGGCCAAAAATAATATCCACTGTCTTCTTTATGATAGATGCAGATACCACATATTCAGTGCTGCTAGGAAGAGATTGGATTCATGCATCCCAATGTGTGCCATCATCTTTGCATCAACAACTGATGTTCAGGAAGGGTAATCAAGCTTTCAGAATGGAAGCTAGTGACAACCTCTTTGGTGTTTCGGAAACTGTGGAGGAATCTGTACTTTATTCTGGGTATATTCCATCAATTTCACGAACGACTTTGGTTAGCGAGTACCCATGGCGTAGCTGTAGGCTCACCAACCAAGGATATCTGTTCTTTTCATAGAAAAATCTCTCGTCAAATATCCTAATAGCCAAAACATCTATTACTTTTCTAAATTTATTTTGGAATGTACAAACATAAGTGA